CGAGCAGCAGCTCGCCGGGCGCCCAGGCATGGTGCTCGGTATTTTCCCAGCCTTCAAGCTCTGTCACTCAGCCCTGCAGCAAACCCAGCTCTGGGCCTTGCAGCCTTTGATTTGGCAGCAAAGTGGGGCAGGGGGCTTCACCGGCTCGTCCCCCACTGTGCTGCTGGGGGATGATGGGGAGAAGGTGCATAAACCCCTTGTCACTCCAGGTTTGTTTAGATTGCAGCAGCCCTGTGCTCCCCGTGTCGTGGAGGCACGTTGGAGACCCCCCCACCTTGCCCACCCTAGACATGGGGGAGAGCCCCCCTGCTGTGGGTGTGGTGCTGCCCACGGTGGGGGAGAAGTCTGTGCCTCCTGGGCGGATCCGCTCGTACCCGATGGCAGCGGGAGGTAGGGAGCACCGGTGCTCGGCACGTGCTGCACGGAGGTCAAGCTCAGCTACATGGGTTTTTTTGGTTTTTTCCTCCCCAAAGGTCTGAGACACCACTGGCACCCTTTGAAGCACTGGCAGGGGTTGTAGCGGGTGCTTTGCAGGTGGGGAAGTCTGAAGCCTTGGGGATGGGGTGCCTGGGAGAGCCAGGGAGCTCTGGAGCCTTCCCGGTGCTGCGAGCTGTGGACCAAGGCACGCGTGGTGTCCGGAGGGTGACCGCAGGGTGCTGAGCCCTGCGCACGGATGCCGCGGGAGTGTTGCGCGGCCCCTCGGAGCAGGCCTGGCCCCAGGCGGTCCCACCAGCCGGACGGTGAACGTGGGTCCGTGTGCTCAGCCCTCCACCCTTTCTCTCTTTGAACAGGTAAAAAAACCGGAGCCCCCGAAAATCGCAACAAAGGTAACCAGCCTCTCCATCCTTTGAACCAGCACCACACTAACTACCGAGCATTCCTCCTTCCTTCCTTCCTTCCTTCTTCTCATCAGTCTGTGCTCTTTGCTGCTCCGGCGGGACTCTCGCCTCGTTGTCCTGGGAGAGGGTGCAATGGTCCCGTGGCCCGTGGCCCCAGCATGGCATCACGGTGCCCTCTGGCACCCCACCGTGGGCCTGTGCATAGCTGGGATGGGGCTGTCCGGCTTCCCCCATGGCCACATTGGCCCTGCAGGAGGGAAAGCCTTTGTGCAGGGAGGACGGGGCTCCTCCAGCAGCCTGGACCATTGGTAGAGATCCCTTTCTTGGGGTGAGCTTCATCCATGTTGAAGCGAGCCACAGCCGTGACCTAGTTGGCTCTGAAGCCCTTGTGCCCCTCAGAAGCCATCCCTTTGCAGGGTTTGTGTTTGGGCACGGCTGGGGGAAGAGATGTGGGTCCCCTCCTGCTGTTCCCGGGATGAAACGTCCCCCAGGGGCCTGGCCAACGCGACGGTTGCACCCTCTCCTCCCATGGCCTCGACTCCGTGAGCGTCTCCTCGCCAGTGTTTCTCACACTGTTCTTTGCAGGCTGTGGAGGAAGCCCATTTCTGCACCTCTCTCTCCACCTCTCTCTCTCTCTTTCTCTCTCCTCTCAGCAGTTTGAGTTTCCCTCCTTCCCGTCAGACTGTGTCCGGGTGCTTGTTTTGTCCGTGTCGGGTCTGTTGTAACCATGGAGGTGTCCCGTGTGGAGCTGCTGTGAGCGCCGTGGTGTCTCAAGCCATCGAGCGGTGGCAGCCGGGAGGGGACAGGTCCTGGGGTGTCCATGGGCAGCTATGGGGTCACTGCTGCTCCTCCAGCCCCGACAGCTGAGGAGGAGACTCTTGGGGTGGGGGGGTTCCCACCCTCTTCCATCCCTCTCCAAAACTTCCAGCTGACCCGTGTCTCCCTGGTGCAGACCTTCAGCTGGACTGAACTGATTAAAGCAACTGAAAGCCTGGCTGTCTCAGGTCCTAAAAATGGATGGCTCAGGGCTGGGATTCAAGGAACTGGCTCACTCCTCTTCAATCTCCATCTGAATTTCTAACCGTCCCCC